TGCAACTGGACAGATAGCTGGAGTAGATAAAGATGGAAGGCCTTTGCAACCGCATGTCAGAGTATGGGATTCAGTTAGTCTGTCCACACTGCAAATTATTGGACTTGGAACTTTTGAGCGTGGAGTAGGATGCCTGAATTTTTCAAAAGCAGATTCAGGTATTCATTTATGTGTTATTGATGACTCCAATGAACATATGCTTACTGTATGGGACTGGCAGAAAAAATCAAAAGGAGCAGAAATAAAGGTAAATCAAAAAAGTTTTTAATCGAGTATTATAGAGTATGTTATTTGTTTTGCGGGTATTTGGAACCACATCGCATATCCTTAAGTTGCCCACTGGCCAAATTCATCAGATTTATTGATTTGTCATAATTCTTATGGTATTAACACTACAGTTATAAAAGATAAAATAGTCAGGAACTTGAAGCAATTTCAGCATTTCATACATTATGCTTCTAAAATGCCAAAGTAGATTGTCCATCTTCAAAATTAAGAATGACCACTCTACTTGGCTGCTGTTTCTTTAATGAAATACATCATTCCATTCAATCTTTAAAACTTTAGAAATCTAGAGGAAAAAATTCAACCTTAGGAATATGGCTGACATAACTGAAGGGAATATATAATAAATTTATTGGTCTTAATTGTGTTTGTAGGATTATGATAGAAAATGCTATAGCATTTATAATTGCTGTAGAATAGTGTTGATCCTTTGTGTGAATCGTGCTATAACTAGCAAGAGAAGAATGTAACATTAGCGTTGCAGCTGCATTTATATGGGTCAGAAATGGCCTTTTCCCTCTGACAGGCTTTCAAAGATATTCACAGTGACAGAATAGCATTACAAAAGCCTATAACAAATTTGCTATGCTTTTAAATAACATTACATTCCCCTTCAACTCCTCTTTCATTTAGCAGTTTTGTTTTGCATAAGCTTCATGTTTTCAGCTTGTTGGTCAAAAAGAGGTTATTTCTTGTGTTTTCAAGTGTTAAGTTAATCTTTCAAAAAAACTAGAGTAGATTTAATTGTAGTTGAAAGGAATATAAGCTGTGAGAAAACCTAAAACTTTAAAAAAATGTTGAACAGTAGGGAAGTTGCACCAAAGTGAGATATGTGGATTTTGATCCTTTGTAGTAAGGGCTACCAGATGAAGTCTTGTGGTTTTCCTCCTACTGGTTACTCCTCAGTCTCCTTTCCGGGACCTTAAATGTTGGTGTTCCTCAGAGTTCTGTTCCTGATCTTCCACTGATGTCATGTACTGCTCACATAGCCTTGATTACGGTCTGTCTGCTGAGTCTCACATCAGTTATCTCCAGCCCAGATCTCTCACAGGTTTAAACCCATATTTCTAGTTGCCAACTAGATATCTTTATTTGAATATCCTCTACCACAGGTCAAAATCAACAAGTTCCGATCTGTACTAATCATCTCCCTAGCCCCCAATCACTTTCACTTCTCAATGATTGACACCACTTTTCACCTCTCTGCTGAAGCTAGAAACTTGGGCATCATCTATCACTCCTTTTCCTTCACTTCTCACATTCAAGTAGTCAGCAAGTTCTCTAAAATCTGTATCCTAAATGTCTGCATTATAACTCTTTCCAGTAAAAGTGACTGCAAACAACTAAAGCTAACTTAATTGAAAGCATTCATAAAAGCTAGTTTTAGGTGGACTGTGGATCTGAGCAGGAAAGGTAATAACAATAAAGCTTTTAGAAGAAAATATAGGAGAGCACCTTTATAATCAGATTTCTTAAGCAAGACATAAAGTATTAACTATAAATGGGAAAAATTATAAATTATATTAAGAACTTCTCTTCATCAGAAGACGCCATTAAGAGTGTGAGGAAATATGTGCAATACATATTTCCAACAAAGCTCTCATGTTCAGAATACATAAAGAATTTCTATACTTCAATGAAAAAGACAATCCAATTTTTTAAAATGGCAAGACTTCACATAATAGGGTGTCCAAGTGATTAATAGGCATATGAAAAGGTGCTCAGGCTCATTAGTTATCAAGAAAATTCAAATTAAAACCACAGTGAGATACCACTATGCACCTACCAAAATAGCTTATGTGAAAAAGACAAAAATATCAGGGTTGGTGAGGATGTAAACTAACTAAAACACTCATACACTGCCGCCAGGCATATAAATTGGTACAGCCATTTTGGAAAACTGTTTGGCATTACCTACTAATATTGAACATATGTGTACCCTCTGACCCATCCTGTTCCTATCCTAGGTATAAACCCAACAGAAATATATACGTGTGTTTGCTAGAAGACAATAGCAGTGTTATTTATGGTAGTCAAAAAGATGGTAACTTATCTAAGTCCTATTGTCATCAATATGGATAAACCAATAATGTGGTCTTTTCATACAAAGGAATACTATGTATAGCAATTAGAATGAACAAATTACAACTATATGCACCAACATGGATGGATCTCACAAAAGTTGAGAAAATAAACCAGACATGAAGGATACATTGAGTAAGGATTCAATGTATCCTTACTCAATTCCATTTAAATAAAACATACAAAGCTAATCTGTACTTCTAAAGGTCAGGATAAGGGATATTTGAGCAGGGCAAGGGAATAAGTTGCTGGAAAGCGGATCTGAGGTGTTTCTGGCACGTTAGTAATGTTCTGTTTCTTGATCTGGATGCTGTAAAGAGGTGTGTTCGATTTGTGAAAATTTGTTGAGCTATGTATTTAGGATTTGTGAGCTTTTATATCTATGTGTATGTGTATAATTATATAAAATACATCAATACATCAAAATACATCAGTGTATAAAAAATACATGTATATAAATAATACATCAATAAAAAATTGAAATAAAATATCCTATAAGGCAACACACACACAAAGTGACTTAATTTCATAGATTACTTCAGTTTATGTCTTGACTATCTTGTCACTAGTACCATGGGTTTGTATACTGGGAATATTTATAGTTAGTTTCATAAGTCATGAATGGATTTGGCATAAGGTTCAACCAACTGTCAAGTAATTTTTATTTTGTCAAGGTAAAAACTAAGGACTGTTAAGTCTTTAAAAGACAGCATCATCCTGGAGGAGAGATGACTGATTTTTGCTTTGGGATTAACACATTATCTTTAAAATTTACTCAGACCTGGTAAATATGTATACTGTATTTCCATACTAATCACTGTGGAGAATTATTTAACAAGCAGAAGATGTTGTGCTTTTCCTTCTTCTTATAACCTGAATTCTAGTTAAGGAGAAAAAGCATTCACATTAGATTTCATTGGTTGGGTTTTATTTATGTGCTTATGCAAAGGCCCTTGAGCCCAAATGTTAGCAATAGAAATGTAAAACTTGTGGAAATATTGGAACTATAAGAAAAAAAATTTTATTAGTATAAGATTTTAAGTGTCATTTTATTAGTATAGAAACATAAAATTTATTATCTTTAAACTCAGTTTGTTCATAAGATTACCATGTTGGTTTGCAAACAGGAAATGCTTCCATATACATAAAGTTCTTCGCTGTGTTAAAAAATGGACATTAATGATCACCTTACAAGTAAACACCAACAATAAACAGCTTATAGGCATGCAGTTTTCACCTCACTGTTAAGTTTGATTAGGTGATTTTACCATAAAATATAAATTTAGTAAGAATTCAATTATGATTTATTGAAATTATAGAAATACATTATTTTAGAAATAATATCCTCAGTTGAAATCATTTCGATGAAAGAGCTATCCATACTTGCAGTTCCTTTGTCATTCTTATGCCTGTTTTCTTCCTTTTTCACTACAAATCTTTTAAATTTCTCTCTTTCCTAGGTTTTTTGAGGAAAGAGAGCACAAAAGCTCCTTCGATTTTTTGTTATGTTTTGTTTTTATTTTTATTTCTACAGGGATCAGTAGTGACCATTCTAAATCTACTTTTTAATGCTTCGACCTGAGAGGACAATCTCTAAATTAGCAATATTTTGTTGAAGAATAAGTGCTCAATAATAATAATAATACAAAGAAAGATAAGATTGTTTCTTTTTTTGTCAAAATGGCAGTGTCTTTGAGACAATGTACATTGCTAGTGCATTTGATAGTTTTAGTAAACTTTTTCCGAATGTGCAAGAAGTTAAAATAATCTAAAGCTATAATTCATATAAATGTCTTCCTAGTGCAAAATTTTAATATAAATAGCATAAAAGTGATATAATATAAATGTTTTAGGAAAATAGATCTTGGAAGAAAAGGTATTTCCTCAAAATTCTTCCATGTGTTTGATCATCAGTAGCTGTAATTGATACTTGATTGAAATAAGGACATGCATTCATCTAAAGCTTTATTTCTCTTCTCACAGACAACAAATGAAGTTGTTTTGGCTGTGGAATTCCACCCAACCGATGCAAATACCATAATAACATGTGGTAAATCTCATATTTTTTTCTGGACCTGGAGTGGCAATTCACTAACAAGAAAACAGGGAATTTTTGGGGTAAGGATCACAATGTTATGACTTCATTAGGTATATATAACTTTTTAAAAAATTGTTGAGTAAACATAAAATCATCATGTCAAAGGGAAAGCTGAAAATTCTCATTGTTTCATTGTAGAAATATGAAAAACCAAAATTTGTGCAGTGTTTAGCATTCTTGGGGAATGGAGATGTTCTTACTGGAGACTCAGGTGGAGTCATGCTTATATGGAGCAAAGCTACTGTAGAGCCCTCACCTGGAAAAGGACCTAAAGGTACAGTATTCTTATATTAAACCCATTCCTTGTAGTTCTCACGTAGTGCTTTTGCAATCCCATCTGCTACCCAGATCAGGAGAGAAAAAGCTGCAGTGGAACAATATGAGTCACCAACATACCTTCTTTTTTTTTTAAATGAGATTATTTATCCCATTATTTATTAGGCACATATAACCTAGATTTGACTATACTGCACCTTTCCCTCTCGGAAGTCAATGTAAAAGAGGAACGATATCAATATATGGTAATTTTAAAATATATAAAGGTTCACTGTTTCCTGGACGGTTTCTGGGATATCTGTGAGGCCAGAATGCCTGGCCATGTAATAAAATGGGGGAGGGGAAGAAAAAAAGGAGTAAACTCATAGTTCAGTCTTCTTTTCCTTTTTCTTTTCTCACTGTAGTCCCCTTTTCAATCCCAGTAATGGGCCATGGCATTTATTCAGCTTTACTGCAAACCAGCTTTTCTCAGAAATACAGATATATTTTATTCTTATATTTAGGTACAAATGGAACTAAATATATGGATCCACTTTGTTCTTTTCTATGACAGATGAAAAAATTAGAGAAAGGGCATTGAAAATAACTTATTTTCTTTTCTTTTTTTTTTTTCGTGTCCGGCAACGGATCACAACCCTCAGTGTCGCGCCCGTACCGGACCGGGACCGGCAACGGGATCGCAACCCTCGGTGTCGCGCCCGCACCTCGCTCAGCCAGTGAGCGGGAACCGGTCTGTATGTGGGATCCGAACCCTTGGCGGGAGCGCCGCCACACTCTCAAGCAGCGCACTGTAGCAGTGCGCCACCGGGCCGGCCCAAAAATAACTTATTTTCAACCCCATTTTTCCTTATTGTTTAAGAACAATAAAACTTTTAAAAAATATCCAAACTACCATGTACTTCCTTCAAAGTAGAAGGTTCCAAGAGAAAATTGGAGACCTGGTTCCCAAACCAGTGGGCCAGGAGAGGAGAGAGATTCTTATTGGCAGCAAGACATGGTAGCAGTAGAAATAGCAATAGAACTAGCCAGGCCACACAGAGCCTGAGAATACACACACACACAAACACACGCGCATGCGCACGCACACACACACGCTGAAATAGGGAATCAACCTAAGATTTCTGAGACATTTCCCCTGGCGATTGGCAGAGCAGTCCTGTTGTTCATCTGCCTCCTCCTAAACACACTCAATCTCCTCCATACCTCTCTCTCTAGAGCCCTTGCATCACCATAAGTGATTTATGAATAAGGGAACATTCCCCTAGTCAGAAAGACTCAGTATACATGTCTGTCTTCTCCAATAAACTTTCCCAGGACTAGCACATAATGTCAGGCATTTGGTACTACCTGTTTGAAAATTATTTGTGAAACACTTTATTAAGGAAAAGATTTTAATCTTACCTTTGGGTATCAGCATAGGAGTAAAAGTTGAGTGGTATTTTTAAAGCACTGTTTTCACTGAAATGTGGAATTTGAATTTAACATAATTGTCCTATGATTGAGTGGATTTTTTATTTATTTTTTAATTGACATGCATTGATTGTACATATTATGGGGTATAGAGTTAATTTCTATACATGTATATAATGTGTGATAGTCAGGGTAATCAGCATGTTCGTCATTGCAAAAATTTGTCATTTCTTTGTGATTAGAGCATTTGCACTTCTCTCTTTTAGCCAGTTGAGAACATACAATAAATTATTGTTAGTTATTAATGCCTAGTACTACTGTAGACCACCAGAACTTACTTGTCCTCTCACTGTAATTTTGTATCCATTAACCATCTTCTCCCTATCACCCCATTCCCTCAGCTGTTCCCAGCCTCTAGTAACCACAGTTCTACTCTCTATTCTATAAGCTCAACTATTTTATTTAAGCTCCCACATGTGAGTGAGAATATGCAGTATTTATCTTTCTGTGCCTGACTTATTTCTTTTAACATAATGTCTTCCAGGCACATCCGTGTTGCCGCAAATGACAGGATTTTGTTTCTTTTTATGGCTGATTAGTATTCTATTGTGTATATATACCACATTTTCTTTATCCTTTCATCTGTTGATGGACACGTAGGTTGATTCCATATCTTCACTATTGTGAATAGTGCTGCAATAAACATGGGGGTGCAGATGTATCTCTATAGTATGCTTGTTTTCTTTCCTTTGAATAAATAACCAGCACTGGGATTGCTGGATCATATGGCAGTTCTATTTTTAGTTTTTTGAGGAATTTCCATATGTTTTCCATAAGGGCTGTACTAATTTACGTTCCCATCCCATCAACAGTGTATAAGAGTTTCCTTTTCTCCCCATCCTCACCAGTATTTGTTATTTTTATTTATTTATTTATTTATTTATTTATTTTGGTCTTTTTGATAATAGCCATTCTAACTGGAGCGAGATGATACCTTATTGTGGTTTTGATTTGCATTACCCTGATGATTAGTGATTTGAGCATATTTTCATATACCTGTTGGCCATTTACATGTCTTTTGAGAAATGTTTATTAAGGATATTTGCCCATTTAAAAATCAGATTGCTATTTTGCTGTTGAGTTGTTTAAGTTTCTTGTGTATTCTGGATATTAATCCCTTGTCAGATGAATAGTTTGCATGCATGGAAAATATTTTTTTTCTTTTATTCCTTTTTGTCTTTTTCCGTGTCCGGCAACGGATCACAACCCTCAGTGTCGCGCCCGGACCGGACCGGGAC